TGCAACATTAACACCCCTCCTTCAGAGTGCAGGCACTGTACTTCCCATCTCTAGGACTCAAGTCCGGCCTGCCGGTTTCCCTGAATCCCTTCATAAATGTTACTTTGCTCACACTCCAACAGCACGTCAAGTATTAAAAACCATTTGTCTCCATTCACTCCTATCAAACACGCTCACGCATGCCTGCTGGAAGTCCAAGCCCCTCGCACACAAAACCTCCTTTACCCCCTCCCTCCAACCTTTCCTAGGTCGACCCCTACCCCGCCTTCCTTCCACTACAGACTGATACACTCTTGAAGTCATTCTGTTTCGTTCCATTCTCTCTACATGTCCGAACTACCTCAACAACCCTTCCTCAGCCCTCTGGACAACAGTTTTGGTAATCCCGCACCTCCTCCTAACTTCCAAACTACGAATTCTCTGCATTATATTCACACCACACATTGCCCTCAGACATGACATCTCCACTGCCTCCAGCCTTCTCCTCGCTGCAACATTCATCACCCACGCTTCACACCCATATAAGAGCGTTGGTAAAACTATACTCTCATACATTCCCCTCTTTGCCTCCAAGGACAAAGTTCTTTGTCTCCACAGACTCCTAAGTGCACCACTCACCCTTTTCCCCTCATCAATTCTATGATTCACCTCATCTTTCATAGACCCATCCGCTGACACGTCCACTCCCAAATATCTGAATACATTCACCTCCTCCATACTCTCTCCCTCCAATCTGATATCCAATCTTTCATCACCTAATCTTTTTGTTATCCTCATAACCTTACTCTTTCCTGTATTCACTTTTAATTTTCTTCTTTTGCACACCCTACCAAATTCATCCACCAATCTCTGCAACTTCTCTAAGGCCTACTTTTACTGGGAAATAATTTCCCTCTTTCCTACATACTCTAACTTGAGCCTCACTATCCTCGTAAAAACTCTTCACTGCTTTCAGTAACCTACCTCCTACACCATACACTTGCAACATCTGCCACATTGCCCCCCTATCCACCCTGTCATACGCCTTTTCCAAATCCATAAATGCCACAAAGACCTCTTTAGCCTTATCTAAATACTGTTCACTTATATGTTTCACTGTAAACACCTGGTCCACACACCCCCTACCTTTCCTAAAGTCTCCTTGTTCATCTGCTATCCTATTCTCCGTCTTACTCTTAATTCTTTCAATTATAACTCTACCATACACTTTACCAGGTACACTCAACAGACTTATCCCCCTATAATTTTTGCACTCTCTTTTATCCCCTTTGCCTTTATACAAAGGAACTATGCATGCTCTCTGCCAATCCCTAGGTACCTTACCCTCTTCCATACATTTATTAAATAATTGCACCAACCACTCCAAAACTATATCCCCACCTGCTTTTAACATTTCTATCTTTATCCCATCAATCCCGGCTGTCTTACCCCCTTTCATTTTACCTACTGCCTCACGAACTTCCCCCACACTCACAACTGGCTCTTCCTCACTCCTACAAGATGTTATTCCTCCTTGCCCTATACACGAAATCACAGCTTCCCTATCTTCATCAACATTTAACAATTCCTCAAAATATTCCCACCATCTTCCCAATACCTCTAACTCTCCATTTAATAATACAATATGCCTCCAGATATTCCCCAGGTTAATACAATACTCCCCCAGATATTCCCCAGGTTAATATAATATTCCCCAGATCTTCCCCAGGTTAATATAATAATCCCCCAGATATTCCCCAGGTTAATACAATATTTCCCCAGATATTCCCCAGGTTAATACAATATTCCCCTAGATATTCCCCAGGTTAATACAATATTCCCCAGATATTCAGCAGGTTAATACAATATTCCCCAGGTTAATACAATATCCCCCAGACATTCAGCAGGTTAATACAATATTCCCCTAGATATTTCCCAGGTTAATACTACATTTCCCCAGATATTCCCCAGGTTAAAACAATATTCCCCTAGATGTTCCCCAGGTTAATACAATATTCCCCAAGATATTCCCCAGTTAATACAAAAATTCCCCTAATATTCCCCCAGGTTAATACAATATTCCCCCAGATATTCCCTAGGTTAATACAATATTCCTCTAGATATTCCCCAGGTTAATACAATATTCCCCCAGATATTCCCCAGGTTAATACAATATTCCCCCAGATATTCCCCAGGTTAATACAATATTCCCCTAGATATTCCCCAGGTTAATAAAATATTCCCCAATATTCCCGGGTTAATATAATATTCCCCCAGATATTCCCCAGTAATACAATATTCCTCAGATTTTCCCCCCCAGGTTAATACAATATTCCCCCAGATATTCCCCATTTTAATACAATATTCCCCTAGATATTCCCCAGGTTAATACAGTATTCCCCCAGATATTCCCCAGGTTAATACAATATTCCCCAATATTCCCCAGGTTAATACAATATCCCCCAGATATTCCCAGGTTAATACAATATTCCCCCAGATATTCCCCAGGTTAATACAATATTCCCCTAGATATTCCCCATGTTTATACAATATTCCCCACATATTCCCATTACAATATTCCCCTAGATATTCCCAGCTTAATACAATATTCCCCCAGATATTCCCCAGGTTAATACAATATTCCCCCAGATATTCCCCAGGTTAATACAATATTCCCCTAAATATTCCCAAGGTTAATACAATATTCCCCCAGATATTCCCCAGGTTAATACAATATTCCCCTAAATATTCCCAAGGTTAATACAATATTCCCCTAAATATTCCCAAGGTTAATACAATATTCCCCTAGATATTCCCCAGGTTAGTATAATATTCCCCTAGATATTCCCCAGGTTAATACAATATTCCCAGATATTCCACAGTAAATACAATATTCCCCCGGTTAATACAATATTCCCCTAGATATTCAGCAGGTTAATACAATATTCCCTAGATATTCAGCAGGTTAATACAATATTCCCCCGGTTAATACAATATTCCCCTAGATATTCCCCAGGTTAACACTATATTTCCCCAGATATTCCCCAGGTTAAAACAATATTCCCCTAGATATTCCCCAGCTTAATACAATATTCCCCCAGATATTCCCCAGGTTAATACAATATTCCCCTAGATATTCCCAGGTTAATACAATATTCCCCCAGATATTCCCCAGGTTAATACAATATTCCCCTAGATATTCCCCAGGTTAGTATAATAATCCCCCAGATATTCCCCAGGTTAATACAATATTCCCCCAGATATTCCCCAGGTTAATACAATTTTCCCCTAGATATTCCCCAGGTTAATACAATATTCCCCTAGATATTCCCCAGGTTAGTATAATATTCCCCTAGATATTCCCCAGGTTAATACAATATTCCCCCAATATTCACAGGTTAATACAATATTCCCAATATTCCCCCAGGTTAATACAATATTCCCCCTAGAAAATTCCCCGGTTAAACAATAACCCCCCAGATATTCCCAGTTTAATACAATATTCCCCAGATTTTCCCAGGTTTAATACAATATTCCCCTAATTTCCCAGTTAATACATATTCCCCGGGTTAATAATATCCCCCAGATATTCCCCGGGTTAAAAAATATTCCCCTAAATATTCCCAAGGTTAATACAATATCCCTAATACCCCCCAGTTAATACAATTTCCCCAGATTTCCCAGGTTAACACTATATTTCCCAAGATATTCCCCAGCTTAATACAATATTCCCCCAGATATTCCCCAGGTTAATACAATATTCCCCTAGATATTCCCCCAGGTTAATATATAATCCCCCAATATTTCCCCGGGTTAATACAAATTCCCCTAGATATTCCCCAGGTTAATATAATAATCCCCCAGATATTCCCCAGGTTAGTATAATATTCCCCTAGATATTCCCCAGGTTAATATAATAATCCCCCAGATATTCCCCAGGTTAATACAATATTCCCCTAGATATTCCCCAGGTTAATATAATAATCCCCCAGATATTCCCCAGGTTAAAAATAATATTCCCCCCAGATATTCCCAGGTAGTAAATATTCCCCTAGATATTCCCCAGGTTAATATAATATTCCCCCAGATATTCCCCAGCTTAATACAATATTCCCCCAGATATTCCCCAGGTTAATACAATATTCCCCTAGATATTCCCCAGGTTAATATAATAATCCCCCAGATATTCCCCAGGTTAATATAATATTCCCCTAGATATTCCCCAGGTTAATATAATTTTCCCCTAGATATTCCCCAGGTTAATACAATATTCCCCTAGATATTCCCCAGGTTAATAATATTCCCCAGATATTCCCCGGGTTAACAAAAATTTCCCCTAGATTTTCCCCCAGGTTAAAACAATATTCCCCAGATATTCCCCAGGTTAATACGAAATTCCAGATTTTCCCAGGTTATTATAATATTCCCCTAGATATCCCAGTTAGTATAATATTCCCCTAGATATTCCCCAGGTTAATACAATATTCCCCCAGATATTCAGCAAGTTAATACAATATTCCCCTAGATATTCCCAGGTTAATACAATATTCCCTTAGATATTCCCCAGGTTAATATAATAATCCCCTAGATATTCCCCAGGTCAAATATGTCGCTGTCCTACAAAGGAATATTAATTGGTATAATTTGGCGGATAAAGGAAGTGTGTGAATTGGCGACGCTGGAGTTGGCGATGACGACGCCAACTGAGGTCAGTGAGAGAGAGAGAGAGAGAGAGAGAGAGAGAGAGAGAGAAGAGAGAGAGAGAGAGAGAGAGAGAGAGAGAGTACGTGCTTGATAGGGGGTCCGTGCCCCTTACTTACTTCCCCTTCCCTCCTCCCTACCCTTTAAAATATATCCTTCCCTTAGCTAAGGGGTCATGCCTCCTTTCTTCTCTCTCTCTCCCTACCCACCCTTTAAAACAACCCTTCCCCTTAACTAATGGGTATCTTCCCCCTACCCATCTCTACGACCCTCCCTCCCCTTTTAACTAATGGGTAAGAGCACTGGCCTCCCTGTTACAGATAGCCCCTCCCAGAGACCACAAGTTCTCACTGCTGAGGACCTACTGGCTGGTGTGGGCAGTACTGTTCCAGGCGGCAGTACACGTCGACTGTCCCAAGGGATTCACTGCCAGGTCAGTGCCAGTGTCTTTAATACTTATAATGTTTATAGTGCTTATAATGTTTATTATCATAACTGCATTATTTAAAGTGGGGTGGAGTGGTAAGCCAGCGGAAGGTCTCCGTCAGATGATGGAAACCTTCAGTTGCTTAATATTATTATTATTATTATTATTATTATTATTATTATTATTATTATTATTATTATTATTATTATTATTATTATTATTATTATTATTATTAGCCTGCTAGGATAACTCTTTACCTGTTAGTTAAGGCAGGATAACTCAACCTGTTAGTTAAGGCAGGATAACTCAACCTGTTAGTTAAGGCAGGATAACTCAACCTGTTAGTTAAGGCAGGATAACTCAACCTGTTTAGTTAAGGCAGGATAACTTAACCTGTTAGTTTTAAAGGGAGGAAACTCAACCTGTTAGTTTAAGGCAGGATAACTCAACCTGTTAGTTAAGGCAGGATAACTCAACCTGTTAGTTAAGGCAGGATAACTCAACCTGTTAGTTAAGGCAGGATAACTCAGCCTGCTGGTTAAGGCAGGATAACTCAGCCCGCTAGTTAAGGCAGGATAACCAGCCTGTTAGGGTTTAAGGCCCGGATAACCAACCTGTTAGTTAAAGGGAGAATAACTCAACCAGTTAGTTAAGGCAGGATAACTCACCTGCTATTTTAAGGCAGGATAACTCAGCCTGCTAGTTAAGGCAGGATAACTCAGCCTGCTAGTTAAGGCAGGATAACTCAGCCTGCTAGTTAAGGCAGGATAACTCAGCCTGCTAGTTAAGGCAGGATAACTCAGCCTGCTAGTTAAGGCAGGATAACTCACCCCGCTAGTTAAGGCAGGTAACTCAGCCTGTTAGTTAAGGCAGGATAACTCAGCCTGTTAGTTAAGGCAGGATAACTCAGCCTGTTAGTTAAGGCAGGATAACTCAGCCTGTTAGTTAAGGCAGGATAACTCAGCCTGCTAGTTAAGGCAGGATAACTCAGCCTATTTAAGGCAGGATAACTTAACCTGCTAGTTAAGGCAGGATAACTCAACCTGTTAGTTAAGGCAGGATAACTCAACCTGTTAGTTAAGGCAGGATAACTTAACCTATTAGTTAAGGTAGGATAACTCAACCTGTTAGTTAAGGCAGGATAACTCAGCCTGCTAGTTAAGGCAGGATAACTCAGCCTGTTAGTTAAGGCAGGATAACTCAACCTGTTAGTTAAGGCAGGATAACTTAACCTGTTAGTTAAGGCAAGATAACTCAGCCTGCTAGTTAAGGCAGGATAACTCAGCCTGTTAGTTAAGGCAGGATAACTCAGCCTGTTAGTTAAGGCAGGATAACTCAACCTGTTAGTTAAGGCAGGATAACTTAACCTGTTAGTTAAGGCAGGATAACTCAACGTGTTAGTTAAGGCAGGATAACTCAGCCTGTTAGTTAAGGCAGGATAACTCAACCTGTTAGTTAAGGCAGGATAACTTAACCTGTTAGTTAAGGCAGGATAACTCAACCTGTTAGTTAAGGCAGGATAACTCAGCCTGTTAGTTAAGGCAGGATAACTCAGCCTGTTAGTTAAGGCAGGATAACTCAACCTGTTAGTTAAGGCAGGATAACTTAACCTGTTAGTTAAAGCAGGATAACTCAACGTGTTAGTTAAGGCAGGATAACTCAGCCTGTTAGTTAAGCAGGATAACTCAACCTGTTAGTTAAGGCAGGATAACTTAACCTGTTAGTTAAGGCAGGATAACTCAGCCTGCTAGTTAAGGCAGGATAACTCAGCCTGTTAGTTAAGGCAGGATAACTCAACCTGTTAGTTAAGGCAGGATAACTTAACCTGTTAGTTAAGGCAGGATAACTTAACCTGTTAGTTAAGGCAGGATAACTCAACGTGTTAGTTAAGGCAGGATAACTCAGCCTGTTAGTTAAGGCAGGATAACTCAACCTGTTAGTTAAGGCAGGATAACTTAACCTGTTAGTTAAAGCAGGATAACTCAACCTGTTAGTTAAGGCAGGATAACTCAGCCTGTTAGTTAAGGCAGGATAACTCAGCCTGTTTAGTTAAGGCAGATAACTCAACCCGTTAGTTAAGGCAGGATAACTTAACCTGTTAGTTAAGGCAGGATAACTCAACGTGTTAGTTAAGGCAGGATAACTCAGCCTGTTAGTTAAGGCAGGATAACTCAACCTGTTAGTTAAGGCAGGATAACTTAACCTGTTAGTTAAGGCAGGATAACTCAGCCTGCTAGTTAAGGCAGGATAACTCAGCCTGCTAGTTAAGGCAGGATAACTCAACCTGTTAGTTAAGGCAGGATAACTTAACCTGTTAGTTAAGGCAGGATAACTCAACGTGTTAGTTAAGGCAGGATAACTCAGCCTGTTAGTTAAGGCAGGATAACTCAACCTGTTAGTTAAGGCAGGATAACTTAACCTGTTAGTTAAGGCAGGATAACTCAGCCTGTTAGTTAAGGCAGGATAACTCAGCCTGTTAGTTAAGGCAGGATAACTCAACCCGTTAGTTAAGGCAGGATAACTTAACCTGTTAGTTAAGGCAGGATAACTCAACGTGTTAGTTAAGGCAGGATAACTCAGCCTGTTAGTTAAGGCAGGATAACTCAACCTGTTAGTTAAGGCAGGATAACTTAACCTGTTAGTTAAGGCAGGATAACTCAGCCTGCTAGTTAAGGCAGGATAACTCAGCCTGTTAGTTAAGGCAGGATAACTCAACCTGTTAGTTAAGGCAGGATAACTTAACCTGTTAGTTAAGGCAGGATAACTCAACCTGTTAGTTAAGGCAGGATAACTCAACCTGTTAGTTAAGGCAGGATAACTCAACCTGTTAGTTAAGGCAGGATAACTCAACCTGTTAGTTAAGGCAGGATAACACTTCTATACCTATAAAGATAGCGGTGTTAAGATAAGCCAGTGTGTTAAGCCAGACTAACCTGGGTTTGTGTCTGGCTTCCACAGGTTCATGGCCAACATCTGGGCCATGTTTGCTGTGGTCTTCTTGGCCATCTATACTGCTAACCTGGCCGCCTTCATGATCACCAGGGAGGAGTACCATGATCTATCTGGCATCGATGACCACAGGGTGAGTGCCCATTACCACAGGGTGAGTCCCCATTACCACAGGGTGAGTCCCCATTACCACATGGTGAGTCTTCATTACCACAGGGTGAGTCCCCATTACCACAGGGTGAGTCCCCATTATCCCAGGGTGAGTCCCCATTACCACAGGGTGAGTCTTCATTACCACAGGGTGAGTCCCCATTACCACAGGGTGAGTCTTCATTACCCCAGGGTGAGTCCTCATTACCACAGGGTGAGTCTTCATTAACACAGGGTGAGTCTTCATTACCACAGGGTGAGTCCCCATTACGACAGGGTGAGTCCCCATTACCCCAGGATGATTCCCCATTACCACAGCGTGAGTCCCAATTAGCACAGGTTGAGTCCCCATTAACCCAGGGTGAGTCCCCATTACCCCAGGGTGAGTCCCCATTACCACAGCGTGAGTCCTAATTACCACATTGTGAGTCCCCATTTCCACAGGGTGAGTCCCAATTGCCACAGGGATAGTCCCAATTATCACAGGGTGAGTCCCAATTACCACAGGGTGAGTCCCAATTACCACAGGGTTAGTCCCCATTACCCCAGGTGAGTCCCCATTACCCCAGGATGAGTCCCCATTACCCCAGGGTGAGTCCCCATTATCCCAGGGTGAGTCCCCATTACCCCAGGGTGAGTTCTCATTACCCCAGGGTGAGTCCTCATTACCCCAGAGTGAGTCCTCATTACCCCTGGGTGAGTCCCCATTACCCAAGGGTGAGTCCCCATTACCCCATGGTGAGTCTCCATTGCCCCAGGTTTAGTCCCCATTACCCAAGGGTGTCTCCATTACCCCAGGGTGAGTCCCAGTTACCCCAGGGTGAGCCCCCATTAACCCAGGGTGAGTCCCCATTACCCCAGGTGAGTTCCCATTACCCCAGAGTGAGTCCTCATTACCCCAGAGTGAGTCCTCATTACCGCTGAGTGAGTCCCCATTACCCTAAGGTGAGTCTCCATTTCCTCAGGGTGAGTCCCCATTACCGCAGGGTGAGTCCCAATTACCCCAGGGTGAGTCTCCATTAACCCAGGGTGAGTCCCCATTACCCCAGAGTGAGTCTTCATTATCCCAGGTTTAGTCCCCAGTACCCCAGGGTGAGTCTCCATTATCCCAGGTTTAGTCCCCATTGCCCCAGGGTGAATCTCCACTACCTAACGTGGAGTTCCCATGATTTTGTGGGACGTTCCCATGGCCATGTGGGAAAGTCCCACAATTTTCATGGGAAATTCTCACGATTTTCATGGGAAATTTCTATAATTTCATGGGATGTTCCCACGACCTTGGGATAATTTCCCACGATTAAAAGTATTTTGGGCAGTTCTGTGTATATGTACACAGTATACTGTATATACAACATACACAGTATACTGTATATACAACATACACAGTATACTGTATATACAACATACACAGTATACTGTATATACAACATACACAGTATACTGTATATACAACATACACAGTATACTGTATATACACCATACACAGTATACTGTATATACAACATACACAGTATACTGTATATACAACATACACAGTATACTGTATATACACCATACACAGTATACTGTATATACAACATACACAGTATACTGTATATACAACATACATAGTATACTGTATATACAACATACACAGTATACTGTATATACAACATACACAGTATACTGTATATACAACATACACAGTATACTGTATATACAACATACACAGTATACTGTATATACAACATACACAGTATACTGTATATACACCATACACAGTATACTGTATATACAACATACACAGTATACTGTATATACAACATACACAGTATACTGTATATACAACATACATAGTATACTGTATATACAACATACACAGTATACTGTATATACACCATACACAGTATGCTGTATATACAACATACACAGTATACTGTATATACACCATACACAGTATACTGTATATACAACATACACAGTATACTGTATATACAACATACACAGTATACTGTATATACAACATATACAGTATACTGTATATACAACATACACAGTATACTGTATATACACCATACACAGTATACTGTATATACAACATACACAGTATACTGTATATACAACATACACAGTATACTGTATATACAACATACACAGTATACTGTATATACAACATACACAGTATACTGTATATACAACATACACAGTATACTGTATATACAACATACACAGTATACTGTATATACAACATACACAGTATACTGTATATACAACATACATAGTATACTGTATATACAACATACACAGTATACTGTATATACACCATACACAGTATACTGTATATACAACATACACAGTATACTGTATATACACCATACACAGTATACTGTATATACAACATACACAGTATACTGTATATACAACATACACAGTATACTGTATATACAACATACACAGTATACTGTATATACAACATACACAGTATACTGTATATACAACATACACAGTATATTGTGTATACTCGTTTATATGGTGACCTGAACACGTTGTGGCATGGGGGAATGGGTTGCCTATCACTTACCCATGATAAGTGTGGGTTGAGTACTTGCCCTAGGAATATAATAAACCTGGATTAATGGGTGGGGGGGGGAGGCAGCAGGTGTCCGGTTAATTGTGATTGTGGGGACACAAGTGAGATTGTTTTGTCGTCATGGTAACACCAACAGTTAGGTAGAACAAGTAACTTGGTGCAGTGTTTACGGATAGATATATCTGTTATTATTGTCCTGTGTCCAGAGTCCGCTAAAACCGATGGTTGACTAATGTGTCTCAAACCACAGCACGGGAGGGGTTAGAACCCGCGACCAGAGAGTCACAAAACTCCAGTTAGCCACTGGACCAGCTGGACCAGCTGGTCCAGTGGCTAACGCGTCGGTCTGGAGTGTTGAGACTCTCTGACCGCGGGTTCTAACCCCACCCGTGGTGTGGTGTATTTGCAATCGTGTCATTACGATTTCGTGAGTCATGTTAATGTGTCTCTCTCAATCCCATTTCTTAATGGGTACGTCACTCCCCTCGTTCTTAATAATCTGTTACTTTTTCCCCTATAATCTACCTTGTCTATAATTACTCTCACATTTCCTGTCTGCTTTCGTAAGGCGAAGTCTACAACACAGTTGCCAGCAGAGATTTGTTAAGTTATACCATAAATTAACGTAAGATCCTGGACTTCGCCTTACGAAAGCAGACAATGTAAATGCGATAATAATAATGGACGAGGTAGATTATAGTGGGAAAATATATTATGGGAAGTGACGTACTCCTTACATCGTTATTATCCTGTCCAGAGTCTGCGACAACCGATGTCTAACTGACGTATTTCTCTCTCTGGGTCACCAGCTTCAGAACCCTTACTTCAGGAAGCCTCCCTTCAGGTTCGGCTTCGTTCCCTTCACCAACACTGAGACCATCATGGCCAAACACGAACCTGAGATGTTTCAGTATATGAGACCATTTAACAAGTCCAACATTAACGACGGTATCAAGGCCATTAAGAAGGGGTAAGTAACTAAAATTAACGAGGAATCAGACATTTGTGCAATATTTGGGAATTTATTGAGGAAATGTTTCGCCAGCAAGTGGCATCTTCAGTCCAAAACAGAGAAGAACGGTGGAAGCTGAGGCGGAGTTTGAGGTAATCAGTCCCTCAGTCTAGAGTCATATGTTCAATCAAGATTTAAATATATATAATATATATATATATATATATATATATATATATATATATATATATATATATATATATATAATATAATGTATACTTCTGTTGTTACCTTGATTGTGGTACATTATATAAATTATTTGTATAATATATGGTTTGTGCCTTGTGGATAGTGACTTTGATGACAAGTTTACGTAGAGTTGGGGATCAGTTTAGGAGTGTGAGGTAAAGTGTGGAGGTGCATGTTGAAGTTTGTGTCTTTGTAATAATCAAAGTTGACTTTCAAGGTTGCTGGAGCTGTTGTCTCAACCCACCTGTCTACCTGCCCAGCCTTGCGTCTACCTGCCCAGCCTTGCGTCTACCTGCCCAGCCTTCCGTCTACCTGCCCAGCCTTCCGTCTACCTGCCCAGCCTTGCGTCTATCTGCCCAGCCTTCCGTCTACCTGCCCAGCCTTCCGTCTACCTGCCTAGCCTTCCGTCTACCTGCCCAGCCTTGCGTCTACCTGCCCAACCTTGCGTCTACCTGCCCAGCCTTGCGTCTACCTGCCCAGCCTTCCGTCTACCTGCCTAGCCATCCGTCTACACACCTAGCCATCCGTATACCTGCCCAGCTATACGTTACCTGCCTAGCCATCCATCTACCTGCTTGTCCATCCATCTGCCTGTCTACCCATCTATCTACCTGCTTATCCATCCGTCTGCCTGCCTATCCATCCATCCACCTCAACCAAGTACGTCAACAACATTGTCATAATCATCCAATACACTACAGTTACTTTATGTAATTAATGTATTTATATATATAATATATATATATATATATATATAATATATATATATATAATATATATATATATATTATAATATTATATTTTTTTTTTTTTTATTATCACACCGGCCGATTCCCACCAAGGCAGGGTGGCCCGAAAAGAAAAACTTTCACCATCATTCACTCCATCACTGTCTTGCCAGAAGGGTGCTTTACACTACAGTTTTTAAACTGCAACATTAACACCCCTCCTTCAGAGTGCAGGCACTGTACTTCCCATCTCCAGGACTCAAGTCCGGCCTGCCGGTTTCCCTGAATCCCTTCATAAATGTTACTTTGCTCCACACTCCAACAGCACGTCAAGTATTAAAAACCATTTGTCTCCATTCACTCCTATCAAACACGCTCATGCATACCTGCTGGAAGTCCAAGCCCCTCGCACACAAAACCTCCTTTACCCCCTCCCTCCAACCCTTCCTAGGCCGACCCCTACCCCGCCTTCCTTCCACTACAGACTGATACACTCTTGAAGTCATTCTGTTTCGCTCCATTCTCTCTACATGTCCGAACCACCTCAACAACCCTTCCTCAGCCCTTGGACAACAGTTTTGGTAATCCCGCACCTCCTCCTAACTTCCAAACTACGAATTCTCTGCATTATATTCACACCACACATTGCCTCAGACATGACATCTCCACTGCCTCCAGCCTTCTCCTCGCTGCAACATTCATCACCCCAGCCTCACACCCATATGAGAGCGTTGGTAAACTATACTGTCATACATTCCCCTCTTTGCCTCCAAGGACAAAGTTCTTTGTCTCCACAGACTCCTAAGTGCACCACTCACTCTTTTCCCCTCATCAATTCTATGATTCACCTCATCTTTCATAGACCCATCCGCTGACACGTCCACTCCCAAATATCTGAATACGTTCACCTCCTCCATACTCTCTCCCTCCAATCTGATATTCAATCTTTCATCACCTAATCTTTTTGTTATCCTCATAATCTTACCTCTTTCCTGTATTCACCTTTAATTTTCTTCTTTTGCACACCCTACCAAATTCATCCACCAATCTCTGCAACTTCTCTTCAGAATCTCCAAGAGCACAGTGTCATCAGCAAAGAGCAACTGTGACAACTCCCACTTTGTGTGTGATTCTTTATCTTTTAACTCCACGCTCTTGCCAAGACCCTCGCATTTACTTCTCTTACAACCCCATCTATAAATATATTAAACAACCATGGTGACATCACACATCCTTGTCTAAGGCCTACTTTTACTGGGAAAAAATTTCCCTCTTTCCTACATACTCTAACTTGAGCCTCACTATCCTCGTAAAAACTCTTCACTGCTTTCAGTAACCTACCTCCTACACCATACACTTTCAACATCTGCCACATTGCCCCCTAATCCACCCTGTCATACGCCTTTTCCAAATCCATAAATGCCACAAAGACCTCTTTAGCCTTATCTAAATACTGTTCACTTATATGTTTCACTGTAAACACCTGGTCCACACACCCCCTACCTTTCCTAAAGCGTCCTTGTTCATCTGCTATCCTATTCTCCGTCTTACTCTTAATTCTTTCAATAATAACTCTACCATAACACTTTACCAGGTATACTCAACAGACTTATCCCCCTATAATTTTTGCACTCTCTTTTATCCCCTTTGCCTTTATACAAAGGAACTATGCATGCTCTCTGCCAATCCCTAGGTACCTTACCCTCTTCCATACATTTATTAAATAATTGCACCAACCACTCCAAAACTATATCCCCACCTGCTTTTAACATTTCTATCTTTATCCATCAATCCCGGCTGCCTTACCCCCTTTCATTTTACCTACTGCCTCACGATCTTCCCCCACACTCACAACTGGCTCTTCCTCACTCCTACAAGATGTTATTCCTCCTTGCCCTATACACGAAATCACAGCTTCCCTATCTTCATCAACATTTAACAATTCCTCAAAATATTCCTTCCATCTTCCCAATACCTCTAACTCTCCATTTAATAACTCTCCTCTCCTATTTTTAACTGACAAATCCATTTGTTCTCTAGGCTTTCTTAACTTGTTAATCTCACTCCAAAACTTTTTCTTATTTTCAACAAAATTTGTGATAACATCTCACCCACTCTCTCATTTGCTCTCTTTTTACATTGCTTCACCACTCTCTTAAACTTCTCTCTTTTTCTCCATATACTCTTCCCTCCTTGCATCACTTCTACTTTGTAAAAACTTCTCATATGCTAACTTTTTCTCCCTTACTACTCTCTTCACATCATCATTCCACCAATCGCTCCTCTTCCCTCCCGCACCCACTTTCCTGTAACCACAAACTTCTGCTGAACACTCTAACACTACATTTTTAAACCTACCCCATACCTCTTCGACCCCATTGCCTATGCTCTCATTAGCCCATATATATATATTAACAAGTCGGCCGTCTCCCACCGAGGCAGGGTGACCCACCGAGGCAGGGTGACCCACCGAGGCAGGGAGACCCACCGAGGCAGGGTGACCCACCGAGGCAGGGTGACCCACCGAGGCAGGGTGACCCACCGAGGCAGGGTGACCCACCGAGGCAGGGTGACCCACCGAGGCAGGGTGACCCACCGAGGCAGGGTGACCCACCGAGGCAGGGTGACCCACTTTCATCATCATTCAACACTTTCACCTCACTCACACATCATCACTGTTTTAGCAGAGGTGCTCAGAACAACAGTTTAGAAGTATATACGTATAAAGATACACAATATATCCCTCCAAACTGCCAATATCACAAACTCCGCATTTACAGTGCAGACAACATTGTACTTCCCATTTCCAGGACTCAAGTCCGGTTATATAAAATAACCGGTTTCCCTGAATGCCTTCACTAAATATTACCCTGCTCACACTCCAACAGCTCGTCAGGTCCCAAATACCATTCGTCTCCATTCACTCCTATTTAACACGCTCACGCACGCTTGCTGGAAGTCCAAGCCCCTCGCCCACAACACCTCCTTTAACCCCTTCCCTCCAACCTTTTCGAGGACGACCCCTACCCCGCCTTTCTTCCCCTACAGATTTATATGCTCTCCATGTCATTCTAATTTGATCCAATTCTCTCTAAATGACCAAACCACCTCAACAACCCCTCTTCAGCCCTCTGACTAATACTTTTATTAACTCCACACCCTCTCCTAATTTCCACACTCCGAATTTTCTGCATAATATTTACACCACACATTGCCCTTAGACAGGACATCTCCACTGCCTCCAACTGCCTCCTTGCTGCAGCATTTACAACCCAAGCTTCACACCCATATAAAAATGTTGGTACTACTATACTTTCATACATTCCCTTCTTTGCCTCCATAGATAACATTTTTTGCCTCCACATATACCTCAATGCACCACTCACCTTTTTTCCCTCACCAGTTCTATGATTAACCTAATCCTTCATAAATCCATCCGCTGACATGTCAACTCCCAAATATCTGAAAACATTCACTTCTTCCATACTCCTCCTCCCCAATTTGATATCCAATTTTTCTTTATCTAAATCATTTCATACCCTCACCACCTTACTCTTTTCTATGTTCACTTTCAACTTTCTACCTTTACACAATCTCCTAAACTCATCCACTAACCTTTGCCACTTTTCTTTAGAATCTCCCATAAGCACAGCATCATCAGCAAAAAGTAACTGTGTCAATTCCCATTTTGTATTTGATTGCCCATAATTTATTCCCACCCCTCTCCCGAACACCCTAGCATTTACTTCCTTTACAACCCCATCTATAAATATATTAAACAACCATGGTGACATTACACATCCCTGTCTAAGACCTACTTTTACCGGGAAGTAGTCTCCCTCTCTTCTACACACCCTAACCTGAGCCTCACTATCCTCATAAAAACTCTTTACAGCATTTAGTAACTTACCACCTCTTCCATATACTTGCAACATCTGCCATATTTCTCCCCTATCCACTCTATCATATGCCTTTTCTAAATCCATAAATGCAATAAAAACTTCCCTACCTTTATCTAAATACTGTTTACATATATGCTTC